AGAGCATGTCGGAATGCATATGTATAGATACATGAACTATTTCGAGCAGATGAAAAGTAAAGACAAATGAAATGAAAACACTAAAAAAACTGTCTGTTCTTATAATTTTGTCCACTACTGTATATATATGCAGGTATATATATTTGTAGGCAGAAATATATATGAAGATATAGATATATGTATGTAGATATATATATATATACATATATATGTAGATGTATTAATATGTACATATGTGTAGATATATAGATATGTATGTACATGTAGAAATATATTGTCTTTTCGTAGATATATGAATATATATGTTGATATATATTTAGGAACATACTCGTTCATTGTTCCATCAATAGAAAAAAATCGCACTTTCATTATTGAAATAAGAGAATTGTTTCTATCTCTATTCAAGATGTCGAATGGCTATATGATTTTTTCTTGCTGGAGCCTAAGGAAACTGAATACATGGATTAAATGTTAAGAGTGCTAATTTTTTAAATGAATATTCTTTTAATATAGTCAATGTTTTAGGTTTTTTTTTGTCTTGCTCGTGCCATTTTATATACTTGTTTCATATGTTAAGATCATTACTAGGAAGTTCTTTTATTTTTCTGTGTACTATTAAACATATTTTGATGATAAACTTTGAGAAAGAGTTTTTTTTGGAAACATAAGATATAGTCTTTATAACTTTAAAAGCATAAACGTATAGATATAGCGATGAGATATATTGAAGAAAGTAAGGAATAATCATGTGAAGGAAAATGTTAACGAATTAGAAAAACAATGAACAAGTATGGCGATTATAATTAAAAACAAATATAAAGTTTATTTCTTCTCAATATATACATCATATCTTTTAAAAACAGTTTTTTAAAGTTCATCGTTGTCTTCTGCTTCATCTTCATCGCCATTAGGATCACAATCATATGAAGTCGCATCATTTGCATTCAATGCCATTTCCATTGTATCAATAACATCTTGCATTTTTTCATTTCTTTCATCAGGATCTAAATTTTCATCATTCTGCAATTGATTTAATTTTTCTTGTCGTTGATATTCCAGCTTGCGCATTTCGTGTGTTGCAGATCGTATCGAATTTCCAATTGCACGTCGCATATCTATCATCTTAAAACTCAAATTCGGATGCAGAATGCGAACATAAACTAAAGATAAAGCAAATAGTCGGTAATATAAGAGAAGATTAGAAAACTCACGGTAAATGTTTTGTAATTGTTCTTCTGGTAACTTTGAAATTGAAATACAACTTGCTCGAAGACCAATTGTTGGATATAAAAGACGAAAAAGTTTGAGTGCGGACTTTTGCGGTGTTCGTGCCGCAACTGTAATAAGATTCGTTTCATCGATGCCTAATTCTTCGCCAATGCTAGAAAGACTTCTTCCATCACCTCGAAATCCTGCATTACTATTCAATAAGTCAAATAGTTCCCTTAACCACTCCAAGACTTCAGCAGTTGGTCGAGCTAAAATGAAAACAGTTTATAGTTGTGATGCTCATCATTGACACGAACAAATCATTAATGCAAGCTAATCAAATTTCGAAATACTTCAATATAAAATAATATAAATTTCAAATAGCATTAATCTAATAAAACTTAGTATTCATTTTTTTTATTGTATTTGTTATAACGAGCTACCGCTCTGAAATAATCTCTAATCTTCTTCTGACCTGCTTATTTTTACATGATGAAGGTGATTGCAATATTTTTATCTCATAATATGTACATATACATATGTATTGTTTTCGTTTCTAAACCACGTATTTAGTAATGAGAGAGACGCATATATCTTATCAACAAATCTAAGCATAGAAGTATTAACTTATGCATTTGTTTTCAAGAGTGAAACATGATGAATAGTCATAATTTCTACTTAAAAATAAAAGACTTCTACTTATTCAAATAACTATAGCAGTACATAGAAGAAAATACATATTTCATTTAAGAAACTATAGTATCCGATCAAGTGCCACACTGAGACTTAGGAATATTGTGAATAATCAAAGAAAAAAACAGTAAACTTACGTAAAGTACTTGATTTAAGTTCTTGTAATTGTTGTTTCAAAACCATGTAATCTTTTTTCCCTTCATCAGCTTGTTTTTTCTCATTTAAATATAATCTTTTTAATTCTCTGTATTCAAGAGAACTTTCAATTATTGAAGTTGCAGACAATTTAGACATTGTTGATGCATTGGAATCAACTAATGAAGTCGATAGATTAGCTTTGAATAGAGCACGTTGAGCTGGAGCTTGTGTAAAACTGTTTAAAAATTGCAATGCAAAAAAAAAATATGTAAAAAGAAATAAAACATCAGTAATATGTTACCTCTGTCTATTCATAATGTGATTCTTTTCTCTTGGCAAAGAGTTCGACAAAGTTCTATAAAAAAAAAAATAATAATAATTGTTGCTCATACTAGAAATACCAACTGTGTATTAGTATTATGTCCAATTCGATCCAAATTACGATTTGCATCAGTATTTGTTGAACTTGATCAATCAATAAAAAAAAAGAAAAATAAGAAAAGCACAGCAAATATGCATACTTTTGTATTTGTTGAAGTAGTAATTTTTTTATTGTACTAAATGATAAAATTCTTTTATTATTAATTACAATAACAACACCAAACCTTGTTTCAGAAGGTAAAGAACTATTCATAGCACGATCTGTTGATTTTGAAGCCCTTTTTTGTACTTCTAATTGTTGATTGATTTTAGATCCAACATTATGGTTATGAGTTGTTGATGACGAAGTAGTTTTTGATGATGATGATGAAGAAAACGAAATGGTGGATCGAAGTGGTGGATTTTCAGAAGCCGTAGAACTGCTATCACCTGAATTAAAACCATTTTCAGTTAATTTGTCCTTACAATATTCAGATTCAGATGACATCGAATTTTCTTTATTGCATAACACAACACCATTATTATCTACTTTGGTAACGTTCTCCTCTTGTACTAATTTCGTAGATAATCGATTACGTTTTAACCGAGATGAAATAGTATCTTTGCCGTCAGTGAGTGAGGAGGCCGATCGCTTCATAACTAATTAAGTATTAGTGAATATATCACGAAGCAATATCAATACGAAGTAAATAAAATGATGTTTTTAAATGTCGAAGAAATTTCTTGACGTCAATAGCCCGATAGTTATCTAAACAAAAAAAAACAATATTACATGATTGAAACAAGCAACAACATCAAATTTAAAGGAAATATAACCCAGCAATCTGTATCCTTTTTTTAAGAAATACGATAGTTGATGAAGAACACCTACAACAGAGATTATAGTGTGAACAAGAAGAAGTAAAACATGTTATTTAAGTGTACAAGAGCCATTACATTATGTATTGTTTATATTAGTGTAGAATAAGAATAATCTAGGCCTATGAACTTAAAAATATTCTGAAGAGACATAGTGAAGAATGAAAAGAAAATAGTATCCATATACTTTTGTTCATTGTATTCTGATATCAGAATATTAACCACAATACGCCAATAGGGAAACAGTTCTTATGCCTCTAACGTAACTTAATTACATTAGAAAACATTCAACTCCTAAAGGAAACACATTTTTACTTAGACTAACATAAAAAAAAAGTCTTACAATATTTCTCATAAGCATACTCATAATTGTGTAAACATGTTTTCAGTATCAAGTAACTAACGACATCATACCAATTATCTTGCAACAAATCATCTTTTTTAGATGAAGTTTAATATTATTTAACAGACAAATATAATTTTGTTTGTATAGTTAAAGTATACTAGAAAACATGAATGTTTCATTAACAGCAGTTTTTATTTTCACGTCAACAGCATAGCACGAAAGAAATATTTAACTCTGCAAATCTATATAATAGGTTTCATCATACCTATGGCAATGAATCACTTTAGAAAATTGTAGAGTCAGCTAGGATCATTGACATGTTTCGATGTGGCTCCAAAACTATTTTAATCAACTGTCCACTTCCGAAGAACATGGGGAATCATCTTAATAAATCAGAGTTTCTCAATTCCTTGTCATCATAAATTCATCCTTTTAAACCGTCAACTGATCTTCTAGAGTGCGATCAACATTCTACTTTTTATCTCATACTAAACTACTGTTTGTTCACTTATACGTCAAAGTCTACCTATTATCTCGTGAGTCAAATTCTTACGTCAACACCACTTTTTCAACTATCTATCAACAAATAAACTTTGCGTGACAGTGAAGTAACTAGGCATTACACACTTCTACGTGACGAACAGTTTTGATTCCATTCCCTAAAATAGAACTTCGATAATATAAGAAAGTAGAACATTATGGATTTTTTATTTTAAAATATAATGTAATAGATATAATACAACTCATAATAAATGAAATCAAATGAAAAGAGGAAAAGGAATTATGTTTGCATGTTTTTCTTTTTCTTATTTTCAAATGTAATATATTGAAAATGAATATTTCGAACATAACAATGTTCATCATCAGCAATAGATATATACGTTTACCATAATTGTTGTTGCATTTGAATTAATATAAGAAATTAGAATATTATGGATTTTTTTTATTTTAAAATATAATGTAATGGATATAACACAACTCATAATAAATGAAATCAAATGAAAATAAGAAAAGGAATTATGTTGTTTTCTTTTTCTTATTTTCAAATGTAATGTAATGAATATTTCGAACATTACTATGAGTTGTGTTATATCTATGACATTATATTTTAAAATAAAAAATCCATAATGTTCAACTTTCTTATATTAATTCAAATGCAACAACAATTATGGTAAATGTATATATCTATTGCTGATGATGAACATTGTTATGCTCGAGATATTCATTTTCAATATATTACATTTGAAAATAAGAAAAAGAGAAACCTAAAAACATAATTCCTTTTCTTCTTTTCATTTGATTTCATTTATTATGAGTTGTGTTATATCTATTAAATTATATTTTAAAACTTCGATAACTAGCTTCTATGAGACCCCAAAAAAACAAAAAACCCAATTTAGTTGCTGTCTTAGCTGAGCATAGTCTTTTACAGTGGCGCCCAAAAGTCTGGTACCACTTTTTGTTTTGAGACGTGTATTAAAACTACACAACATTAATTTAAATTCAAATATATGCCTGGATAGCAGAGATTGAGTACTATATTTATACATTTGTTCAATTCGAAAAATTCTCGAATACGAACTACTGTGAAAAAAATAAACTCCAGTACTAAGAAAAAGATTACATAAAAAACTACAAATTGAGCATAGAAATGTCTGAAAGAGTTTTTTGATTACAATAGGAATTTATTTATGCATCCTTTGTAGAGCTTTCAATAGCGCATCTTTTGAAGCAAAAATCAAGGTGTTTTGATTTCTTCAAACCGAGATACATGCAAAATATTAAAGCTTTTCTAACATTTCTATTAGGTTAATCATGGTGAAAAGTAGCATTATCATGCATTTGTTTTCATGTCGAGTATGAAAGAAGCCATAAGAACAAATCAATAAGAATCGTTTTTGTAGATCTATTCACGGCGCACCTTTTGAAGAAACAACCAAGGTTTATCATTTGTCTGTACAGGGATATTCGCAGAACAAATTATGTTGAAGACATTTTAGGACATCTCAGTGTTCAGTATTTTAGTTATAACATGTTCAGTTCTCAATAAAATCGAAGATCTTTTTTTAGTAAAATGAACAGCGGAAAAAGCTCTACAAAATCTGAGAAAATGAAAAGTTTCCTGAATGCTTTGTGTTTCTTTATGATTGACTGATTATAAAAGCATCCTATAGCAAAAACATCAGTTTGTAGTTTTTATGTAATTTTATTCTTAGTACTGGAGTTTGTTTTTCTCATAGTTTGTATTCAAGAATTTTTCGAATTGAACAGATGCATAAATATATTACTCGATCTTTGCTATCCAAGCACATACTTGAATTTAAATTAATGTTGTGTAGTTTTGATACACGTCTCAAAACAAAAAGTGGTACCAGACTTTTGGCCGCCACTGTAGTTATTTTAAACAAAAACACACCAATTCATAAAAAAATATTCATGAGGACAAATTCTACTTATACATTATCAGATTACTTTGAAATCTTCTTTTAGATTCATCCTACATAACAATTCAGTGTTCGAATTAAACACATTCATAGAAAGCAATACTTATATCTTTCCTTTCAGATTCATGAAATAGAAAACATGCCGTTATTTCTAACTCAACTCATGAAACCAAAAACTACCTTCATATCTCTTCATTCAGATTCATATGATGATTTAATCACAGTGAGCTCGATTTTAATTTATAAACTACGGTACTGACATCTCTTCTTTCAAGTTCACATGTTGAACTAAATTCTGGTGAGTTCGACATAAATTAATTATAAAGAAACAAAATTGATGTCTTCTTTTAGATTCATGTTATAGAACAAAAAGGTGAGCTCGATTCAAACTTAGAAATTAAAATTATACTTCTATCTCTTATTTCAGGTTCACATGATGAAATAAATACTGGCGAGTTCGGTATTGAGTGATATACATAAAACATTATTCATATCTCTGCTCTAGATTTTTGTGATACAATAAATTATAGTGAGCTCGGAACAAATTACTTAATAGGAAACAATATCGATATCACTTGTTTTGGATTCATCTGATAGAAAAAAAGAAATGGTGAGTTGGATTAAAACCTATAAGCTACAAGTATTATATCTTTTGTTTCAGGTTCAC